AGACGACACTGAAAGGACGATCAAGGTCTCGCAACGCCAGTATTGGTGCATGAATGAGGCTGTCGTTGACCCTGTCAAAAGCCTATGTCCCAGCACCATTCTGCATTCTTCTTAAGGAGATTCAACATTTGTCGTACCATTTCTGCGTAGTTCTTGTGCAAGTAGTTTGCAAGGCCAAGCCACTTGCGCAAGTCCTTTTGGTTCTTTGGAACCGGTCAGTCCACAGTGGCCTTAACCTTAGCGGGATCCGCTCGAATGCTACGCTTCCAAATGAACCACCCTAGAAAGGAGATTTTTCAGCGCGGAAGATGCACTTATCTGCATTAGCATGCAGCTTATACGTGCGCATGTACTTGAGCACCACTCTCACATGGACAAGGTGATTTCCTCATTAGTCCTCCCGTCCCCCGCATGACCGTGGACGAAGATGTCGTCGAAGTATGTCTGTGCATACTCTCGGTGGGGCCTGAACAACTGCGTCACAAGATGAATAAATGTTGCTGGTGCATTCGACCGCCCTTAGGCATCACCAGCCACTCCCAGAGCATCCCGCTCGGGGTTCTCACCGCTGTTAGCGGAATGTCACTCGCACTCATGAGCAATTGGTATTACCTACCGACCAAATCGAATGCACCATACTTTGTCATCCAATCATGTAGTTCTGGAGAACATCATATCTCGGATTCGGCATCTACGCCAAAATTGTGGCAGCGTCGAGCTTATTGTAAGCGTGAACGATACGCCAGTTGCGGTTCGACTTCCAGACACAAAACGTGGGTGTCAAATTGGGAGACTTGCTCTCGCGCATCATTCCTGTGTCGTACTTCGCACGAAAAAGGGCGTCAATGACGTCACACTGCTCCTTGGACAGGGACCATTAGCGTGTTACGCAGTATTTAGTTTTCGGAACCAAGTCGATCTCATTACGCACACCTTGGCCTGGCAGTAGGACCGACGGCGGGTCTTTGGAGACGACGCCTTGCAATCCGTTTACCTAAGGATAATACGGGTTCGCGGGATCCTTCAGGACCGGAGATCCATTTCTAGCGTTTAGCACCCTCTTAGTATCCTCCAAGACAGCCTCATCCAGAAGCGACGACAAGTTTTTCTCTTTGTTCGATCTAATAATGACCACCTCGGCTAGATTGCGTGCCTTCAATGCACCGTTAAACGCTTCGAAGGACATGTTGTCCAGCTCAACAAGAGTACCCACCGCGGGAATAGCCTTGAGAGTGACGTTGCCGTCTTCCTCTCCCGTCATACCATCGACAAGGGTATATAGGTGTGCGCTAACGTCGACGGTAGACACACCCTGGGTCAGGCAGATAACATACGGCTTCGCCCTCTCGATCTACCATGTTGTTTGTACAGCTTGTTGCGATGGAGTATGCTTTGGTCAAGACTAGGGTACACCTGCTCAATCCAATTTAGACATGATGTTGAACACGCCAGCGCGAATCCCAAAGAGTCAGTTCATGTTCATTTGGGTGCACTGCCTTGATAGAAAGTAGACTCCGACATCGATTATACATCTTTTTACTTAAGCTCGTTATTAGGCTACTTTTGTTCACATCAGAAAAGAAAGCTCACAGCTACATAGCATTTCCACATGACGAAATAATGAGTAGTTCTCATCAAGTAAGGCGAAGTCAGTGGTCAACGCATGAAAACTGATGGTGGTGGCATAGGTTTACAGCAATAGGTTGCCGTCTACTTTGCACGTAGGAAGCCTGACTCTTAGGGCACGCACACATAGGTCGGTTTGAGTGCTTCTACCAGAAGCAAACCCAAAAGCCTCTAAGGCAGCCAAACTGATACTTCGCTATGCTATTTCAAGAGTGCATACATCCAAGACTAATTCTGATTAAACGAATACTACAAGTACATGTTTTTTTATCATAATCGTCTACACTGCTAAGCGTGCGGCTAGCACTACATTTACTACAAAACCTTCTTTATCATCAACATATATGCCAGCATTTCGGTACTAATGGATATTTATTCACAATGCGTACCAAAGTGCGGTATGAATGACGTTTGATTGATCCGTATTATATTTGATAGAATTGCACAAAATATGTAAGTGTTAGATACATATGATTACAGCACTTTCCTCAATACACAACATGTCGATTAGAAGTCATGCCTTCGTGACCAAAGAACTACGACCTAGAAATGTATAGTCTAATGTCATGCGCAGGCCACATTCTGACATGACAAATTTGTTAATTTTAGTATGGTATCCGTCTGATTGCAGACATTACTGCACAAAGTTTTAGCATGGGTGCTGCTCACGTGCTGTATAGTCATACGGAATACAAACGCGCATGTAAATCGAATATGTGTATGATCGAGACACCTCTTATGTAGCTCGCTGCATGTATACTTCACATCTTACCTCGGTGAATCTGATTTTCTTCCGGCCCTACCTAGCTAGATCTCCTAGTGCATTTTTGGATCACAAACTAGAATAGCACGGCGTTTTTTACATATTGCGAACAAAACCGGCGAGATTTCTGTCGACAATTTATATAAAACCAAATAATTTTGCTTTCCAGATCACCTCATTGAACGCTTAATCGTCGTAGCTAAAAAGAAAAAAGGTCCCTTCGATTGTTCTAAAGGAATGTGAACCGTCCTGTGATTTTATTTGGGCGTAAATCATAATTCAAAATTAATAGCCGTTCTACAAATCCGCTCTCACATGCGCATCGGCGCAGAGCGTTCTGGCGGATAACTTGTCTATACTTGTCGTTATCAGAGCGATTTGGAGACGAGTGTCTCTTTCATCCTTTGTTGTTACTTTGTCAGAAGCGAATGCGCAGCTTGGCTCGTGCTTCCAAATTATGGTAGCATTGGCTGTACGTCAAGACTTTTGGAGAGAGCTAACGTGTCACCACAATCAAGCGAACCAACAAGAGCCGTCCACGGAAGAGTCGTTTATTGCTGGCTCGGCTTGATGATTTGTTAAAGTGGATAAGATAATTTTACTTGTACAATGTATGAGAATCCGCATCAATAATATTGCTTTGGTGCCGTTGCCGCATTTTGTTTGACACATCGTTGCCTTGACCCCCACCATTGAAAGTGACGAGATTGTGCACCTCAATGCACGTCCCACTAGTGAGTGAGCTCCGTTCTCTTTCCGAATTCTAGACCTAACCGGTAGCTATACCAGCAGGTACATGGTAAGCGATTGCGACCCTAGTGAAGCTTTCCTTGTGATAAAGGGAATTAAATGGGGTACATATACTCATATGGTATTAAAATGTACGTTAACATCATACTTCTGTCTGTTGGAGCCAGAGCAAAGGCAAAGACTATCAACGTGAATCATCATAATTGACCATCATAAAAGTTGGTTTCAGTTACGAATGAGGGTGTTGGGTTTCAGGTATGATCAAGGGTGATAAGTCCGGTCTGTAGGACACATGAGTGCAAGCCTCACGCAAACATTACAAAGGCTTTCATTTGTATAGGTTTTTTATACAAAGGTACCTAAAACTATTCTAAGCTAGATTTAATTAAAAATATGCGACTCCTAGCTGCGTGAGGTGCAATTGGTACGGTGCGTGAGGACCCATCCTGTATGCGCTGATTAAAGTGTCAAACCTTACTCTGTACGAGGTACATAGCATCCCAGCTTTACCAAAGAGTACTTGATGGCTATCTGACGACGCAAGGTTACACAAGTCGAGGTCTAGGACCTAGAAGAGGAGTTCGCTCGCTTGGAGAGATTCTCCAGCAACACAATAATCAACTGAAATCCATAGGACTTCTTGCTTACACAAATGTTGTCTGATAGTGTTCTGGATACCATGACAAGTTTCCCGCATTATAATCACAGCTTCTACCTTGTAAATAAATTGCTTGTATTGTAACCCCACCTACGAATCTAATGTCCCCATCCCTCATTCCGATACGAAACTTTCTTTTTTTGGCTCTTATATAATTTGTACGATACGATTTCAACTTTATTTATATGTGAAACGAACTGAAGTGTTTTGAAAAATAAACGCATGTGCAATGCTTTCTTGTGTCGTGAATAGCATAAACTATACAGACATATTAGACAATACCATTACGATCTTGCAATACGACACACTGAAATTTCTCGGTTGTAATGCCGTTCTATACCATATCGCACCCAACAGGTTGAGTAGTGCAAAACTACCTCATTGACATTAGCTCCTATGCTTCATGGTGCATGCCCCTACCAAATCTAAACTTGCAAGGCTTGAGCATATTGGCCATCCGACGTTGATCATGTGCAGAGTATAGTATGGCTATCACACCATCTGGCTAGCTTTTGGCGTTTGGGGCACGGGAGGACAGATGAGTAAGTTACATTGACCATTTGAGAGCGGTGTTTGAGTGCATGCGCACGAATAAGCTGTATGCTAATACAGATAAGTGCATCTTCGGCGCTGAAGAAATCCCTCTCTTAGGGTGCTTCATTGGAAAGTGTGGCCTTCGAGCGGATCCCGCTAAGGTCAAGGCCATTGTGCTATGGCAGGTTCCAAAGAACCAGAAGGACTTGCGCAAGTGGCTTGACCTCGCCAACGTCTTGCACAAGTATAGCGCAAATTATGCGAAAATGGCACGGCCATTGTAGAATCTCTCTAAGAAGGATACGGAATGGTGTTGGCATCGGGAGGCTTTGACAGGGTCAAAGGCAGTCTCCTTCATGCACCGATACCGGCGTTGCCAGACCCCGATCGTCCTTTTAGTGTCGTTTATGACGCTTCGAACTTTGCCATCGAGTGTGCACTGCTGCAAGCAGACGCCGAGGGGTGAGATCGGGTGATCGCCTTCAAACTTCGCCAGCTTAAGGCTGCAGAGAGGATTTACCCAGTCCATGACAAGGAATTGCTTACGATGAAATATGCACCTGTCAAGTTCAGGGTGCACCTGCTTGGCATAAAGCCGTTTATGATCAAGCGTCATTACGCAGTTGCCTTGCCTCTCGCAGAGAATGACCAGGTGTTTCTTATTCTTCGCAGCAAATAGCTATTATATATGCTGCAAAGAACAAGAAACACCTGGTCATAAAAACAGAATGCTTTGACTGATGCGTTGTCACGCAGAACGGACTATGAGCTTGCTCATGTCAGAACGGTGACGCCGTCAGTGACGGATTTGATCCGCACCACATACGCGGGTGACAGCATGTGTGTAGCGCTGCTACAGGCTCTCGGAAGAAAGGAGTTTGGAAACTCAGACAAGAAAATGTCGGCGCGATTATGCGCACGGTTACACCGATATTCGTTTAGTAACGATTTGTTGTATTATAGCACCGATTCAACGGATACGCCACGAATCGTGTTTCCCCACGATAAGAGTTTGATAAACCGTATCCTCTATCAGGCCCATGATACCCCACTCAGTAATCGTTTCGGTCATAAGAAGACGTACAGCTCTGTGCATTGCCATTACTGGTGGTCCAAGTTGTGCAAATGGACGAGCATATATGTGCGCACGTGTGAGACGTGGAAGGATGAAAACCGCTTCGAATGCGGTGGCACCGCTGACCAGTTTATCGGTACTCTACGGATGTTAGCAGACTATGGGCATGTACTTTGTGTTTGGCCTGCTAAACGACTCGGCGGGCATCTTGGATGTGGTGGTCTTTTTGGACCGTTTGAGCAAGATAGCTCATCTTGCAGCAGTGCCGGACACTATCGACGGTGTGGGTACAGCGACGCTATTTGTCGATCGTGTCTTTCGACAACATGGACTCCCGGTGTCAATTGACTCTGATAGAGACCCGCGCTTCACTAGGAGGTTTTGGTCTACAATCTTCAGGGTGCTAGGCACCATGTTGACTATGTCATCAGACCATTTGCAGACCGATGGTCAGACTGAGCGCGTGAATCGCGTCGTTGCAGAAGTTCATCGTAGCGTCTGCGCTGAGACGACAAAGCACTGGAGCGCTATATTGCCACCTGTCGAATTTGCTTTGAAAAATGCAGTGCATTTATCTACCAGCTACACGCCATTCTACGTGAACGTTTATCCTCGCGCCCCGCTGACGCTGCCATCCCATGGTTCAGGGCTTGGTGGAGGAGGAAAACCCGAGCGGCTAGCTGATGTTAGTTCACTAACTTGGCGTAAAGAGGTCGGAGACTTCCTGTCTACCAGACTGAGTGTCCTACGACACGTTCGCGACGCGATGGCTTAAAGCCAAGACACGCAGAAGGAATATGCAGACGGAAAAGGAAAGTAAGTTGAGGTCGGAGGCCTGGTTTTATAAAATGCTAAAAACCTTCCTACAAATGTAGTATCTACTGTCTTTAAGACGAAGGGTTATTGGACCTTATAAAGTCGTGACCAAGCGAGGGCTAGCGTATACGCTGAACTTTTCGAGAAGGATGCGCACCCACCTGGTGTTTTATGTAGGCTTGCTTTAGCCGTACCGGGATCCGGCGCTAGTGAACGCGAAAGCTTTGGCGCCGGAACGGTGCTCAAAGGCGATCGACCACCTAGAAGTTGAATCAGCAGCTGGTTCTGAGCACGGAGTGCAACAGTTTTCGTTTCCGACGGCGCAAGGCGCTCTCCAGTTGCATGAAGGAAGTACTCGCCTGCTCGACGGCTAAACGCCACTCCGACAGATCGCGATAATCTTCAACGTGAGGCAGTCGGTGCTGAAAGTGCTTCAGACTCTCGAGGGCTTCCGCACAGCGGTAGGCGACTGCAGAAAGAGTTTTGGCGGAGTGCCGATGACGACGGACTTTGTCCTCGAAAGCTCGAAGAGCATCGCGAGTCATCGGATGGCGATCGACCATGTCGTCATCGTTCGCCGCCGAATCTTCTCAATGAGAATGGTGACGTCCACTATCACGTGAAACGCCTTGTGTGTCGACGTCGCCGACAGGGTCGAAACTAATACCTTGTAAAGTTATGGGGATACTAAACTCCGAGAACTTATGGGAGTTTGAGGTACTACTTTGGCAAGACTGCCCAGACGTCGTGAGCGCTTATGATCCGAAGGATCATGACGCTTCTCGTCGTCGTGCAAACCGCGCTTCTCGGCAGTAGCCCGGGAAGCCGAAGGGCCATGAGCCGAGCTCAAGCTATGGCCCTGAGCTGTTGTGGTCGTATAACCACCCATGTGAGAGAACACTGAGCTTGCGGGAGCGTATTAAATTAATCCATGTGTCGCAGGGCGACAATACGTAGGAAGTAGGCGTTGCACCTTGATTTTGGCAAGCTCATATCCAAGATGGCGCGCAACGCACACGTCCACTTCCTTGTAGCCCCGCTGTGAGTGAGACAGCGAGGAAAGTCTCCGGTGCCGCTGCACCCATCGCTCAAAGAGCCCCTCAGCATCTAGAGCAACTATGTTAGGGGTGAGCACCACAGGAATAGTTCGCATTGCGGGTACGGAGGCCTTTCCTTTTCAATCTTAAGGTCGAGCGCAGTACCAATCTATTGGGATCTCTTGTGGTACAAAAAACGAGCTCGCAGAGATTTTATCTGATCAAACTCAGCTTGTAGTGGCTGGGGGCCCGGCTACATAGACTCCTAACGATCGAGTGATCGCGTTCTTCGCTTCAGTAGCAGGATCCGCCGAGCTGAAGCCGTATTGCACACGTGGGTCGAGGACTGTACGTGGCGTGAAAGCTACCCTGTGGGCAGCCTCCAACTGCTGCTCCTGTGCCTCGTCGAGGCGATTGGTAACAATACCACTTCATGCGGAAGTCGAGAGGTCGGAGACGGACACGGTGTCCGCAAGGTTTTAGCAGGGCTCGCGTGGCGCCATTGGCGCACCTTATCTTCCTTACAGTTAAATGTGAATTATGGGTATTCACAATTTTGATGGGAGAGAGTGTAACGGGTTACACGTACCCTTGTATGATAGCGTGGGGCACACAAGATGGTGTGACCGTACATAGATGTGTATTACACAACTTGGTGTAAGCACACAATGGTCTGGCTACACTGTAACAAGAAGTCACTACGGTTCAGGACTGCCAGTAGTAACGCATATTAACTAGGTATTACTATATTAATTAGGAAAACCAAAGGTTTTAGATGCTGGCGGCTCTGCCGCAACTTAAACAGTTAATTATAGTTTCAATCTCGAAGGAAGAGGAAGGATTTTAAGCTGTGCTAATTTTATTCTGTTAATATTATTGCAAATCTTGTCAATATATAACTCAAGTAAACAAAAAACAATGGTACAGATGTAGCCTTTGAATGCTGAGCTCTTCGAGAAACATCTTGCAAAGTAAACTATAGCAAATTGAATCTTAAGAGCGTAGTGTATTTTAGCCTGACGTATACCAACCCCAGACGGGATCACAACACTATCATCTCGATGGTATAGGTATTTCGCTTCCCAATGACGAGCGCGCCATTTTCCTTGCCATCACTCGCGTGGTAAAAGGGCTTTGACCAATTCGGTAGTACGTCATAAAAGTCTCTAACAGCACGGACGACGATTACTAAGTTTGTAATTAGAAGCGACCAGAAAATTAGCACATTTGAATACTTTGAAAGTAGCGGATTGCGACCCTCTACACTCGTACTGGTTTTTGTAAAGAACTAAGGTCGGTGACCTTAGCTTAGCTTCCTCTAGGCAAAGAGCTACGGCAGCTCCACTGCAAGCGCTCCTCAGGTCTGCGGGCTGGTGCAGACTTCTGACTATGCTTGGTTTGATGAGAAAATAGCAGATTATTTAAATTGATGGCGTAGAAGCCATCACTTGAATTTGCGTTTCTGACCCTTTATACGATCCCCCCAACGGTATCGGGTTTTATTTAAAACAAAAATGACATAAGCCCAAACTGATTTGAAAAAAATGTGTGTTTTAGAAAATGAGTGCATCATATGGTGTACAGAACAAAATTTGAGCAGGCGACTAAAATATTAAATCTTCTCATCTTTGTATCTTTCAAGTGGAGTACTATTTTCTCATTAAAAATTACGGGAGGAATTTATCTTCAAAAAGATTCGATCATCTCCAAATGATGTTCTGCCCGATATTAACGATACTCATCACCTTTGTCAACTTATCCGCTATCACTGCGTCTATCCCACGTGCTTGTTCCTCTCCGGAAGACCAACAATTCGCGTTTTGTAATGCGTCACTATTGGTCTCCGAACGAGTTGAGGATCTTTTGGGCCGTCTACCGCTCGATATAAAGGTGACGCTGTTGACTGCACGTGCCAGCCCTCGAGGTAACATGAGCAGCATTGGTCTACCTGAGTACAATTGGGGTGCCAATTGTGTCCACGGGGTACAGTCCACGTGCGGAACCAATTGTGCAACATCGTTTCCAAATCCCGTGAATCTTGGTGCTATTTTTGATCCGCAGGCGGTATTCGATATGGCTCAAGTCATCGGTTGGGAGCTTCGTGCTTTGTGGTTAGAAGGAGCCAGAGAGAACTACGCTGCAGGTCCACACTTGGGGCTTGATTGCTGGTCTCCCAATATCAATATCAATAGAGACCCTCGCTGGGGTAGGAACATGGAAACACCATCTGAAGATCCTCTGGTTAACAGTAGATATGGTGTGGCTTACACTACCGGGCTCCAAAAGGGGAAAGATCCGAGATATTTGCAAGCCGTGGTGACTCTAAAACATTATGTTGCCTACTCCTTCGAGCATTACGACGGGATTGATCGAAAGGCTTTTAATGCTGTGGTATCTAAGTATGACTTTACTGATACTTATTTGCCGGCATTTAAGGCATCCATTGTAGAAGGTGATGCCAAGGGGATCATGTGCTCGTACAATTCTGTAAATGGTATACCTATGTGCGCAAATGAAAAGCTGAACAAGCAATTGTTACGTGATACTTTGGGCTTTGATGGGTACATCACTAGCGATTCCGGGGCAATCGAGGGCATTTTTCGTCAACGAAACTATACTAACACGCTCTGTGAGGCTGGAAGACTCGCTATTTTGTCCGGAACGGATATTAACAGTGGAGGTGTCTACCGAAAATGTTTACCTGAGCTTGTGGCAAGTGGACAATTGCCGGAGACGGTAGTGGACGATGCTTTACGAAGAACTCTTAAGCTACGCTTCGAATTGGGTTTATTTGACCCAATTGACGATCAGCCTTACTGGCATGTGGCACCTAGTGAAGTGAATACGGCCAAATCAAAGCAACTGAGTCTTGACCTTACTCGAAAATCGATAGTCTTGCTACAGAACAATGCTAACATTTTGCCGCTAGCTAAAGGCAAGAAATTGGCTGTGATTGGACCGCATGCAATGGCGAAACAAGCTTTGCTGGGCAACTACCTAGGACAGATGTGCCATGGTGATTACTTAGAAGTCGGCTGTGTAATGACACCATTAGAGGCGATTACTGCTATGAATGGGGCATCAAACACTGTGTATGCAAAAGGCTCTGGAATAAACGACACTATAACTACCGACTTTGCCGAGGCAAAAGCTGCTGCATCAAAAGCAGACACTGTCGTACTTTTCTTAGGCATTGATACGTCAATCGAGCGTGAAGCAGGAGATCGTGAGAATATTGACGTGCCTAAGATTCAAATGGAGTTGCTGAAGTCTGTGCGCCTAGCAGGAAAACCAACGGTTGTCGTTTTGTTTAATGGAGGAGTGCTAGGCATTGAAGAGCTTATCCAACATGCTGATGGTGTCATTGAGGCATTTTATCCCGGCTTTTTCGGTGCACAAGCTGTAAGTGATATCCTTTTTGGAGATGCCATTCCGAGCGGAAAACTTCCCGTCACGATGTACCCTTCGCACTACATTGATCGTGTAGACATGAAGAGCATGAGCATGACCGATTACCCTGGACGTTCGTATCGATATTACAAGGAGGTGCCTGTTTTTCCATTTGGTTGGGGTCTTAGTTATACCAAATTCACCTTAGCGTTGGATGAAAGTGATGATGGAATACAGTCGACCAGTATTTTAGAAGTTTCGGGTGGCCAAGACCAGACAATGTCTGTCATCGTGTCAAATGACGGCAATTTTGCTGGAGACGAAGTCGTATTTGCGTTCTTCCGGCCTTTGGACGTCAATACAACTGCTACTGCAAAACTGTTGAACGAACAGTTGTTTGATTACCGTCGTGTGAGTCTTCGCCCCACACAGTTCCGCAAACTTGACTTTCGCATCCAGCAGAGCACTTTGGCCATGGTTGACGACTCTGGCAACCACGTCTGTTTTCCTGGATTTTATCAGATCATCATCACCAATGGTGTGCATGAGCGTGTAACATTTACCATCCATCTCACTGGGGATTACGAGACGCTAGAAGTTCTTCCGACTGATGTTTCGCAGCCGGGATTGGCAGACTCGCGTAACATACAGACTGATTTTCACGCGCGACCCATTCAATCTCAAGAGCGTGAGACATTTCCGGTTGTGGAATAGCTCCAAGAGCTGACTTTCAAAATTGAGGCTCTTGGTTGATGCGTGTTATACCTGAGATTGAGCTATCCAGAACAATGTAAAAGGTGACAATTTTGCCGTTTTAAGATATTGTTTTCACAAATACTGAATATCTGCAACGCTCAAATTTAAATTGATGGCAGGTAGAGATACTAGCCCAGGTCAAAATTCTAAGACGAGGTTTGACTATGACTTATAAATAACTTTCATATCTAGAGTCGTATTTTTGGAATGATCTCATCATCAATTATGCTCAGACATGCACCATCGTACAATTTGATGACACCACGTATTCTTGAGACCGCGAAGAGAATATCATCTTTTACGAGAATTTTAATTGTGAAAACCTTCCTCATCTGCTTAAACAGCCGACCATTCAGATATCGAAAACGAACATTTTTCTTGAATCTGATTACGAAAGTGGCAGAACAGTCGCTGGTTGCTAGAGCAGTCATCAATCTTGATATCAAAACTATCACATAACAAATGATATGCAGCGGCTTTGTCGAACTAGATTTGAGCCGTAAAAATGGCGTTGATAGCACTTTGCAAGAATGTTGACGAGCTGTAAGTATGTTGTGTGACAACAACACACTTGGATAGACAATGTATTGAAGCCTCGCAAGTATAAACCCTGATGAGGGCATGTACTGCCGGAGTGCGTGATAGCTATCTCATTGGGCACTTTTGCTTTATGCGCAGAACGGCGCCACAGCCCAGCAGTTTCAGCGCGGCATTATGTACATTGTTAATCAATAAGTTAGGTATTAGTGTCATACGTAAAGCTTTGCACGTATTAAATTGATACCTCGCTGGAAGAATTATTGCTCGGCTCAATTGTCTTGAGCATTGAAAAGAGAAGTACCACGCTGGAATAAGGGTTGTAGACATCGAACACTTTGGCGGGACTATATTATGATAAATTGGTTGGCAAGAAAGCTCTATATGATAGAACTATGATAACTTTAGGAAAGTCATCGGGAAATATCGATGCACTTAACGTCTTTGCAAAAAGTATTTCGGCTTATTTTTTTTACATGTAACACGACCAGTTTATGTCTTCTTTGAATGTTTAGGCATTGGCAGATGCCATAGCCATCTCGGCCTCTCTTACCCAGAGCAGAGAATTCTCTCCACCCTTACCCTTGAAGGCCTTAACGCTCACCATGAGCGGCCTGGGCTGGGAGGAGTCATCCGTCGTCGACGGTTTCTGCTGTAGGTGCTCTAGCAGAGCATTTTCAGTGCTCGAAAACGTCTTTAGGCGCGCGCTTATCGCCTCGGGACTTTGCAAATCAAGTTTCTCCAAGCCCTCAGGAACATGCTCGTCCTGCATGCCCTGGGGCAAAAAGGAGTATTGCTCCAACCTCACAGAGGATCAGTCGTAACGCCTTTGGCGTAGATTGAATACGACTGCTACCAAGTGCAGCGGGGCTGCCGTAGCTTTTTGCTTAGAAGAAGCTAAGCCGAGATCACCGACCTTACGCTCTTTGCAAGAGTCAGAACGAGTGTAGCGGATCGCAATCCGGTACCTCCAAAGTACTCAAAAACCTTACCAAGGAAAATGAACTCCTTCGCTCAAAATAGAAACTAGATTTAATTGCTTTAATTTTTGCAGAGCCGCCAATATTTAAATCTTATATTTTCCAAAGTAATATAGTAATACCAAATTAATGCTGTAAAACCTAATTAATGTGCATTACTACTGGCAGTCCTGCCACGTAGTGGCTTCTTGTTACTGTGTAGCCACACCATTGTGTGATTACACCAACTTGTGTAATACACACCAATGTTAACATCATCTTGTGTAACCCACCCTTTCATACAAGGGTACGTGTAACCCCATTACAGCGCTGATCTTAATAAAAATTAGTTGCTTAGCACTTTCAACCTTCAATGAACTCCGCAGCTTGGAATGGATAATCTCAGCAGCTGAAAAGTTTATCTCGACTCGGCACTTGACAAAGCCAAAGGACAAACCTTGAGGGTAATATTCTGGAGGGCAATTTTCTGAAGTAATGGATAGCGGATTCAATCGATTAGCCAGTATGGGAAAACAGTCTTAGACTGCTTTCACAACATTTTGAGCCAGAAGTCGTTCTTCTCACGGTCCTTATATGCGCTGACCTGGAATTAGACGTATTCAGTATATATTGCCTCGCGTGCTTCGTCTGCAAACAAATCAAACAAAGAGTCTTTGACAACTTTCCTTTCTTTCATAGTCACTACATCTCCCGGATAGCGTGGATCCAGAAAATAGGCTCTTCACATCCCGTTGCCGTACAATAAATCATTTTGCGCTTGGATCAATTCCAGTGTTCTCATGAGTATTCAAATATGCTGACGTCCAAATTATTGTTGAATATCGAATTTTAATGCGCGGTACAACTCAGAGACATGTACGGAATTACAATACTTGCGTTGCCAATCAGCTTAAAGCAATACGCGGTAACACAAGAAATTTGCATCGGTAATGATATTGAGCTCCTTCTGAGCACTTGCTTTCATCTTGGCTGTGCCTAAATAGGAACCTTAAGTTAAACAATACTCTAGAAAATAAATATACTTTTTTTGCACTCTGAGCCTGTAGGCTGTCCCATTTTGTGGCGGAAGGTTGAATGCTGGCACTTTCTGTCTTGTTTGTTCTTTTCCAAGCTTTGCCTAGATAAAGTGGTGATACGAAAAGAACGATACGACTTATAAGCAAAAGCGAATGGAAGATTATACTCGAATGTTTAATCATCAGGATAGTCGGCGACAGCTCTTCCTCGCTTGGTTTTGCTGGCTGCAAATGCCCTTCACAAGTAGATGCAGGCCGTGGCCCGCACACCCTTGTAAGAACAAACCAAGATACTTTGACTGCAACAAATTCCATGCCAATTTGTTATTAAAAGTATTATTGGATACTGCTTCACTAAAAGAAAGATCAAGAGCTGTTTGGATTTCAGTGACACGGCCAAGATCGCTAACAATTAATTGAGTCGTTTGGCCCTGCTTTTGTGTACAGATAATCTTCAGAATCTACGACATCTACTGAGAAATAGTTAAATTTGGGTTATTTTGTATGCTGACCACCCCTGTAGTCAACTAAAAATATGTTGTGTTGGAGGCCTGCGACTATTTGGACCTGCAAGTTTGTTTCGATCAGGGAGAGCCACATCTGAACGACATGGTTGCAACACGTTTCAAAAAATTTCTTCTTCAACGCGCTGAAAAGATGATTCCGTGATGTAGTGGTCCATGGTAATTAGTTGACCGGTCATTTCTTGCTCCTTTTTCGAGAGATCCGGTGTGTAAAATAGACTGACTGTTGTTTGTCGAGTGATTTATGATTTTTTCTCATTGCTTTTTCTGCGTCGAGCGCGACGTGACAAACCATTTGGAGCGCTCATCATCTAAGTAACATCATGGACTTGAAAAACGGTTTACATTTACTCAAATGAGCTCTGATACATTTCGATATGCGCCGATAAGTGACGCAGGCTTTGCAGTGTTCACAGGTAGAAGACTGTGCTTTCCGTTGTTGCAAAGAGTCAGTAAATAAACTCCAAACGTCATCGACTATTCCTTCTTCCCATTTCCTTGACTGCTGCAGCATCAACGCACTTCTCAGCAACATCAACGGGAACGTCTGCTTGGTCGGAGTCTGTCATTGCTCAAGCCGTTAATCGGGTACCAGATTACCAGCCGCTGTGATGATGGAAAGATAACACAAAACAAGAAGAATATGGCAGAGAACAGATTATTAAGTCCGCGACGGACCTGCGTTTGACATGGAATCCGTAAAAACCCAACTTTCCCATAAAAAGGAGAAACGGATTTTGTGATAAACCCCCTCAAACGCAAATCCAAAAAATCAACCTGCCACTTCTGTCGGGTACAACATTTTTCAAATTCAACACATATGTTTCGAGCAAGTAAAAATACAATCATTAAGATGGTTTCATTCCTAATCTCAGTAGTCATTTAATGTCTTCATCTTGGGAATTCTATTTTTTCACATAAACAAATGATACGCACAAATTAGATTTTAGTCTTAGAATATGTTAGAATCTTTATAGGGTTGTGCGGCAAAGCACTATATACTTCATGTGGTACAGATTGCGAGTCGGTGGTTTCAAGTCGAGTGTAATCACTGTTTTCTCTCTATAGAGGCACTACGTCTTATCGAGACCAGTGGAATATGCACTCGGCGTCGTCCAGTGTCTCCACTCCCTGTCCCGGGACGTCGGTTCAACGAGCCTTTACACGCCTTGCACAGGGCACAGTACGTCCGAAGGCGACGAGTGTCTCCATAAACACCATCAGGTGTTTACACGCTGCTCAGAAGCTCGGAGCTCTCCCTCCTCTTTTTCATAGCTGAGATCCATTGGCTTAGGCCCGCTCGACGAGCTCTGAGGGAGGGTGTGCATTCCAACCAAGTCGTGCCAACTTGAAGCTGAATTCGGCATTCAATGCCACGTTCACCGCTTTTTCAAAAGAAGGCGGATGCGCACAGAAGGCTTCCATTCTAGCCATACCAGAGCGGGGGGTATTCCATAAAGACGGTCACTGCGACTGCCTCGGGAAGAGGCTTTGCTGTGTTCCCGACAAGGAGAGTTCTAAACTCCTGGACAAATTTCACCAACTCCTTCTTGCCTTGTCGGGCCGCAAGGAAACGCTATCGCACGCGAGATGCCTTATTAGGCGGCGAGAACACCCGCAAAAGCTGATGCTTCTGCTCCTTCCTGGAGGGGAGCTTCAACCAAAGCACTACACGTTAGTGCCCATTCTCGCGCTCCGCTCCCGAGCTAGCGCCACGCGCTGTCGCTCGCTCTTGAGCATCTTGACACGATTGGCACTTTCAGAATATGGCGGCTATCTTTTTCGATGGTTGTACTACATAGGCTGCGTGCTTGATGAAGAAAATGAAAATCAATCATTTGATGGTGTCATGCTTATAAGTTTCAAGAGAATTAAAAATAGTTGAAGACGATTAGTTTATT